GAAGTGACTGGATATACGAGTGACAGGACTGTGGGGAATATGTATACTCGCAGATTGGTCTACCCGCATACTGGTGAGGAGGCCAGTCTGCTCGCAAATTCCCGGTTCTACTCGGTAACTAAAACGGTTTGGGGTGCTATTAGAGAAAATAGTTTTCTCGCTACCCTGAAAGAGCCGTTCCTCTTGCCACCGTGAAAGAACCGTTTCTCTTACCACCATGAATAGAAAAATCCACCTTTGCCACAGTTAATATTCGGCTTCACATCTTCAAGCATCATGCCTTTACATATCACCGCCCGTAATGCGGCCGATTTTGAACTTTCAGATATTGATGGACAGAACTGTCCACCAGCCGGCGCCGCTGTTCTACCCATACCGACAACAGGCCGCCACAGTCTCCGCTCAAGTATCCAAACAGCATCTGGCCAGAAAACAGCTCGGCCTACGAGTAAAACCAATACAACAAAGACCTTCCGGAGCGATGGTATTGTTCAGTGGGATGCTGGAGAGGATGAGGCTGGGCAGGAAGCCGGAGAGGACGTTCGAGAGGAAGCAGAAGAGTAAGCCATACGGCGGTTGAGAAAGAGAAGGAGGGTGAAGACCTAGGTAACGATGACTTTTAGATTGACTGCATGAGCGCTGTGTAAAAATTGATTATTGCGTTGATAGAAAAGTCGCCCTATTGTGATGTCCGCGTATCTGCACATAAATTATGCCTGGCAGGCGGGTCTACTTGTATAAGATTTCACAGCAGGCCGGTCTACCCAAAATATCTTCTGACTCGGCAATCCAATCGGATCGCAGATCCAGTTGCTTGCCCCACGGGCCGGTCTGTTTACGAAAAACACATTTTGCCCGACAGGCTGGAATAGATATATGATTGATGTAAGACTAGATAACCTTAAGATCTGTTTATTTGTCGATGATGTGATTTCTGTCTTTTTGTCACGCATGTTTCACCCGTGATCCATCCAACCTCCCGAATTCTATGAACCGCCTGGTTATGTTACCTTGCGGACTTCCTGACTATCGGTAGGACTTCCAGGAGTATTCCCGGCGTTCGTACCTACAATAATATCACTATTGCTCTCCACTATTCCAAGACACATCACATCACACCTGCCCCCTCATCATCGGGACACGCTTTACGAGTCATGATCATTCGTCCTCCATGGAAATAATCGTAAGTGAGATTACAGGGTTTTCAAAGTTACGCGAGTAAAAAAACAAAGATCATCTTCCAAGCCCCAATCGCGCATATTTCTGAACCCGAACTATCCACTCTCGTCTCAGCATCTAAAATCACTCCGTCCCCCTCCATAACAGACCTCAGGGTGTAACGCAGGAGATTCTATCCAACGCGCTCGACGCTCGCATACTTGGATCAGCGAGGACAGAAATACTTGCGACCATCAGGGGTCTTCTCGCCCTCGTAGAGGAAACAGTGTGTGCAAATGCAGGCGTGGCCGCATGGAATCATCTTGCATCCGATGCCGGTCTCGACCGGTTTGTCGCAATATGGGCAGGTAGTGTGGACCGGCATTCGATGCATTAGTGGATATTGTAGGATGTAGTTGTAGAAGATGCACTTGTAGATGGTGGCAGTGGTGAGTAATGTGAAGGCAGTCGTGACCATTGCCGAGGTGTCAAGGATGTCGCTGTTCATCGTGTCGTGGTCGCAGGTGTCGACTCCATTCTAAATCAACCCTTCCTTTTGTCATATACATTCATGAAACGAGAAAATTCAGCTATAGCGGTTGGTACCACTCCACTTAGCAGTGAAGTGCTCCAGTCTATCTCCCCGTATCCCAGCCACCGTTCCGGACTCCGGGGAGACGGGCTGGCGGCGGCCGCAGTGACGATAGGACGAAAGATATGTACGATACCGTAGGTCTTGTGTAAGCGGATGTCGGGAGTGTCTGCTATAGAGTCGGTGCTCGCTACGCTGTTTTCTCAACAGCAAGCAGAAAGCAATGAGCGATTATTCTAGGCTCGTGATCGGTTGAAGATTTGATAGCAGAGGATGTGGTATTTTCGCAATGATGTGGCAAACATGCCGGAAGCTGACCATAGCTATGAAAGCTCTGCAAGCACCGAGATATTCGCCGAGCGTTGGGTATTGGCAATGGTCACCTCCACAATCTCGAGCGATGTCTTCCAGTGTGCCGCACTTTAAAGCTGCATGCCTTCTCCGTACGGATCACGGTTTTAACCTGATTAGGTACTCATTCGATTTCAGATAGCAGGATTTTAATCCTTTCTTCCACAGCCCATCGGAGGAGCTGTTTTCTGAAGTCTTAAAAAGTTTGAAATTGCCGTCCCACAGTCATAGCAGCAGATGTTCTAGTAACTACCATGCTGCAGTGGCCCGTGGGTCCGTAGGCGATTATGTTGGATGTGGGACAATGGTCAGATCATGAAACTCGAATTTTGAACAAGGATCGAGTGATATGTTGTGTTGTGCAGTGCAGCGCTTGCTGCTGTCATGCCACATCTCTTCATGGGTTGGCACTTTATTTAGGCTATAGAAGGTGCGTGTTGCAGTTGCAAAGACTGGCTGTTGAGCTTGATAGCTATGTTTTTTACTTGCTTCGGATTCGGGGTCGTGACGACGAATTGAACGGAAATGACCAGCAGTGATCATGCTCACCTGAAGGGAATTTGCTCGTCGCGCGTTGGTGGTTAGGTAGGTAATCGAGTGATAGTCATATTTGCGCGCATCAGTCGGACCATGAAGTTTAAAAGTTGGAACTGGAAAATAAGGAGTGCCCGACATGCTAGGCATGGTAACACTTGCCATCACCCCAAGTCAGAAACAAATGTACGTTTCTAAAGAGGCGTGAGAATAGCCAATTTGCCTCCCAGAAGAACTTTACAGACTTTCTCACATCATCTCACTCGATGTTTTCTTCATCGACGTATTTCATAAGCACATGGCGCATTACACCACACACCTTCTTTCCTAGCATCCCTTGATGAAATGGCAGGAGGCGACGACGCCGAAAGGAACCGGGAACCATGAGTGTGATCCACTAGTGCGCGGTTCACAAGGGCATCTCGGGAAAGAGGCTAGCGAGTAGATGAAGCTGGCGGTAAACGAACCCGGTGCCCCTTGTGTTGAGTGGCGCGAGTACGGAAAACTATAGGGAAGTCGGCATACGTCCACCTGAAGCGCCTGGTCGCAGAGATCAGGTGGAATGAAGCCAAGGTATGGGTAAAGTGCGACGCGACATTTACCGATCGCACGATGTCGGAATCTGGCGATGGAAGTGAGACAACTAGCGAATATTACCATGATCTGGATACCTAGGTCCGAACCGTGGTGGAGACATTTTCTTTTTGTGCGGCTCAGACCTTGCGTAAGTGAGTGACAGTCATGTTTTTGCGCTGCGCGGCGCGAGTCGAACCACGAAATATCAAACGCGGGAAAGAAGAGAGCGGAGAAAGTACTTGTGACATACCTGACATACCGGTCATCCAACCACTTTATACTACCCTCAACCAGCCGTTTTTCACTGGCACGATTCGCAGTCTTAGATAGTCCGATCATGACCGATGATAAAGTACATGGATAGCAGCGTCTACTAAATTATGGTGCTAGTATTGAGGAGAGAGAAAATTCTGAAATGGATTCGCTTCGGTTGCCGATACAAAAGATTACAAAAGAATGGAGGAGCAGGGAATCGAACCCTGGACCGCCTCTATGCTAAAGAGGAATTATACCACTAAACCACACCCCCAACTATAAAACTGATTTTTAGTTATACCCATATAGAGCATGAATATGTGCTTTTGCAGCAATTTTTTGGTGGGTCTGGTCAATCAGCGGACGGCACAACTAAAAGAAGTGCGAGAAGAGGGACTTCAGCTGGGTCGAGTGGGATTTTCGTCTTCTTTTTCTTCTCCCCGGATTATCATTTACTGAATAAACGGGGAAGCCTCCACCTCCGCTCTCTCCTCTGTGCGTGCTCCCTTCCACGTCCCACGCTTGTCGGCCTGGAGTTGGCAAAGAGCCCTTGAAAACCCACCACTACTCCTAAAAGCCCGTTTGGATAGCCTGTGTTTTTAGTTCCAGTTTTAAAGCGAAATTCAGTTCGCCGCCGGGACACCAAATACTATCCAGTTCCAATTTCCGGAGAATTGTAAAGTAAACAGAGTGTTTCGCAGTTCTCAGATTACTCAGCCAGGAGTCTGAATAATAGGCTTCACCGGAACTTTAATAGTGGACACATTGTGGCCCCGCTTTTTAACATGGTTGAAGTTAAAATGCGACACTGAGTGGCGGCAAAGAAATGGCCTCTCGAAGTCAGTACCAGTTTCGTCGCTGGACCCGCACAGTTTCAGTTCTTTTTTTTAATTCTTGTGCCATCCAAACGGGGTCTTGGTTTTATTTGCTCAGTTTCTCAAAAAACTGACAGTTTTCGCTAAAACTGAGGCCATCCAAACGGTCCCTAAAATATCCGTCTACATGCCAATGCTTCTCCAGACGCGGGAGCGGGTCAACAGAACGTGAACACACAAGGGGGGGAGGATATAGAGTTTAATCGTCTACTCTGTAGATGATGAGAGAGAACGAAGAAGAAGAAGAAGCAGACGACGGAGAGAGCAAGCGACTCGCTGGCCCCGCCAACTTTGGTGCTCACTAAGAACTAACCACATCCGCTTCCTCCCGCCGAGAAGCCATCCTCATGCTGCCCCTCTCGCCGAGATCGCTGGTCACAGTGGGGTTGCGTGGTGCTAGCTTTTGATGGTGGGTTTAGATGGTGGGTTTAGATGGTGGTGGTTTGACTGGTGGTGGTTTGACTGGTGGTTGGTTTAAGTGGTGGTGGGGTTGAAACGGCGAAAAAACTATGGCATTATAGACTTTTCCCAAAAACTATGGCATTATAGACGTTTGACGATATCTTTATCGGCCATAACCTTAGGGTTCCATGTAGTATGAACAATCCATCAATCATTCAATTGATCGGATATTCCATCGCCTCAGCGGGTGTGAGATCTCAGATATCGCATTCGAAATCGTAGTGGCCTCGTGACCAAGCTGAGCCCGCTGTAGTGGAATTAGTATTTGTGCCCACCTAAGAAAGGGCGACAGCAACTTACCCATCATCTGAGCTAGCGCAGGACCGTCAGAGCATACAAACACCATCTTGTACGGACCGTTGTCGGCGGCCTCCTTTGCGAGTGACTGCAGCGTGTATAGAAGTTTCGGGTCTTCCTTGGCGATAACGTCGATGTTATCAAATACCAGTACAGCGCGGTGGCCGTGTTCGGCCAGGAGCCTGGTCGCGAATTGTTCGAAGTCTGCGAACAAGGTGTTGAGTCTGACCTAGTCGTTGCTGTCTATGATCCGTTCCTTCAGCTAAAGACGATAACAGCAATCATGTCGGACTTACCTGGTCGCTTCGCCGACGAAGGAGCGGGCTTGTGCAAGAACACATTCAGCCATAACCGTGAAACTCTTCCCAATGAAGAGCTTTCTGGAATGCTGTGTTGAGCGTAGTGGCGATATTTGTGTCTCCCTCGTTTACTGACACATAGATAACCCCAGGAAGAGTGTCGGCAACCTTCTCAACTTTGGTGGACTTGCCCGTTGCACGGTTGCCAACGATCACATCGTAATTTTTGCCGTGGTCAGCGTCCCCGCGGTCAGCGTTTTCTTAACCAAGTTAAATACAGCCGGACGTGCCACGAAATCGTCAGGGCCGGAAACTACAGTTGGCCGGAAGGCGGCGTATATGTTTTTCTGCCGCTGTTTGTCGCGCCAGTAGGCGTATCCGACGTCCGCAGTGACAAAAGCGACCTCAAAACAACCCATCTCAAACAGAGGCATTCTAGTACTTGAAGGTTATAAAAGGGATAAAGGCGAGCGTTTACCATTCTCGCCGCGCCTCTTTGAACCAATTCTGCGTTCTGGAGCCAGCACTGCCACTGGCAGTAGTCGCATATTGTGCGCGAGCAACAGTATTGGAGCCGCCCCGGAGGAGGCCCAAAGACAGGTGGCTCCGGTAGGCGTGACGAAACATGTTGATCAACGCGGGTGTTGACTGTTTGCGCAGAGGGTTTGTTCAGGAAGGTCGGTATTGAAAGCAGCGAAAAGGGAACGAAAAATGGTACTATTAGTAGGGAATTCGAGACGGTTTTGGTGTGTCTAGCGAACGTGGAGGATACACCGTGGGCAATGTTAGAGGATGAAGCACGAGAGAGGGCGGTGATAGAAATACGAAGAGTCGGGGAAGGTGGGGGTCCAGGAAGGTGGATGGTGCGTGTCAAATATTAGTCACCCAGTGGCGTCGGCATGAATACGGTATCGCGGTGGAAGGTTGAGGGCGAGTATCGACGGCCGCGGCGGACCGTCGACGAGTATATGGTTACGCGGCGGCGGCCAACTTTGATTGGCGCAGTGGCCAACCTTGGGCGGCGGCCAACTTTAGCCGGCAGCCAACTTTATGCGGCACCTGAGTCTTAAAAGTTAAAGAGAGGTCTCGCCAGAGACGATAGGTTCTTCTGTTTTTCTTAGGTATCGAATAAATTATAATTTGTCTCTTCTCGTCTACCCAAATATTCCGAAACGTTGAGTTAGATAGCTGGAGCCGCAACAAAAGCAGAGGCTTCGGAAGCTGCACGTATCATACACCACTAAGGGCCCGTTTGGATGGCCTCAGTATCAGCGAAAACTGTCAGTTTTTCGAGAAACTGAGCAAATAAAACCAAGACCCCGTTTGGATGGCACAAGAATTAAAAAAAAGAACTGAAACTGTGCGGGTCCAGCGACGAAACTGGTACTGACTTCGAGAGGCCATTTCTTTGCCGCCACTCAGTGTCGCATTTTAACTTCAACCATGTTAAAAAGCGGGGCCACAATGTGTCCACTATTAAAGTTCCGGTGAAGCCTATTATTCAGATTCCAGGCTGAGTAATCTGAGAACTGCGAAACACTCTGTTCTCCGGAAACTGAAACTGGACAGATATCGGTGTCCCGTCGGGGAACTGAATTTCGCTCTAAAGCTGGAACTGAAAACTGAGGCCATTCAAACAGGCCCTTTGGTAGTTAAACGTAGGAATCGTACGAGGGACTCACTGAGGGGGCGTCAATAGTCGGCGCGCTGGAAGTTGTTCCGGGAAGTTTAACCGTTTACATGGCAACAGCCGCATCTGCCAAAAAGAAACCAAAAAGGGAACACCTGACAACTCTTAAAAATGCAACTTCACCACCCGGCAACGACTAGTATTAGTATCCACCTGTTCCTTTCCACTACGAGGATCAGTCACTGCCGGTGGTTGGTTATGCATATTCTGAGACAGGCTATCTGCTGGTGGAGTCTGGATGGCGGCTGTGGCCGCTATGTTTAACTTCAAAGTTAAGACTGAAGATTAGTCGCCACTCGTGAGAGTTTGGTGCACTGGAGCTTGATTTCCATACAAAACCTAGTGTTTCCTCTTGTTAAGGATCACTACACCAACATCGGGCCAGGAAATCAAGGTTGGGAGAGGTACGTAGGCTGTACCTTTTCCACTCCCCATACTCTCCATATATTTCCAGGCATGCTTTGATAATAGCTGATAGCATCGGGGGTGTGGTTTGTTGGTACGCCCCGCTTCGATGGCCTTCGGTCGGCCGCCCAACCGACTTCGTGAGAATAGGTGTGTCGTGAATAGAAGATATATAGGAAGTGGTGTGGTCAGTAATGGGATTAATATGGATTGCGTTGCGAGAATAGAAGACAAATAGAACTGATGCCGATGACATACCTCGTATGTTTCACCGCGCGCCTTTTTACACAATCGGGGGTGTGGTTTAGTGGTATAATTCCTCTTTAGCATAGAGGCGGTCCAGGGTTCGATTCCCTGCTCCTCCATTCTTTTTCATTTCTCTTTGCAAGTGCAACTGAAACGAATCCTTCTCAGAATATTAATTATATCCTCACTGAAGTAGAATACATACGGGCACCTCAGACCTAGGCGGCACCGTCATATGCCCCAAGCCTTCTGGCCATCTATATAGCGTGTATATATGGAAGGCTCGCTGTCTAGGTTACGAGAAGAATCAGAAATAAGGCTTCCATCGCAATACTCCTACAAATGTATTTAAATGTCTTTGTAACAGGTAGGCGTTTTCAACAAAACCACAAGTAGCTACGTACGGACCCTACCATCAACTGGGGGTGTGGTTTAGGGCCCGTTTGGATGGCCTCAGTTTTCAGTTCCAGTTTTAGAGCGAAATTCAGTTCCCCGACGGGACACCGATATCTGTCCAGTTTCAGTTTCCGGAGAACAGAGTGTTTCGCAGTTCTCAGATTACTCAGCCTGGAATCTGAATAATAGGCTTCACCGGAACTTTAATAGTGGACACATTGTGGCCCCGCTTTTTAACATGGTTGAAGTTAAAATGCGACACTGAGTGGCGGCAAAGAAATGGCCTCTCGAAGTCAGTACCAGTTTCGTCGCTGGACCCGCACAGTTTCAGTTCTTTTTTTTAATTCTTGTGCCATCCAAACGGGGTCTTGGTTTTATTTGCTCAGTTTCTCGAAAAACTGACAGTTTTCGCTAATACTGAGGCCATCCAAACGGGCCCTCAGTAGTGCACGCCGTTCACGAGCGGAGTATTTGTAAGGGGCGTTGTCGATGCAGTGGTAGCGGTTTTGGTGTCGTTCTTACGGCGATGACTCGCCTCCTGGAGGCTGTGCGATCTTTGGCCAGTGGCCACGGCGGGATGTCCAGGGGCTCGACAGCTTGATGTAGAGGTCGTATCATGTCGAACTCATCGTGTACGTCATCAAGGCATGGATTATGCTACAAGCTTTTCTTTCTGTTTCCTTCCAGGTATATGCTCTTCAAACAATATCGTGACCAGCTCTCTCTCTCTCTATAGGCACAAGCTTTATAAACCAGAGTATCCTAAATCTGTGTACCTGATCCTGCGGAAGGGAGGTCTTCCGTGCTCGCGTTACGAACCTCGTCATCTCCAGACGTCCGATATCCTGTCACTGACCTAATGTACCTACCACAATCAACATTCATTCCGCCAGGATGCGCAACTTGAGACCCGAGGTTGCAGATCAATATGGCCTTCTTTCCCTCGGCCTGCTCGACCGGATCCGTCACATTTCCCTCTTCATCCTTAGCAAACGAGCCAATGCTTTTTTACGCCGCAACGGTCAGAATGTCACTCTATCTTCAATGTTTTGTCAAGCGGATCTGAGCGATCGAGTGAGGGAGAGATGGAGATGTGATTGCTAAATATAGAACAAAAGAGAGGACAAAAGAGAGAGTATTTGGAGAGATACAAAAAACCAATCCCAAGATATCCGTCCGTCCACAAGATATCCGTCCGTCCACAAGATATCTGTCCGTCACATCTTATCCGTCCGTTCCCACCGTTATTCCACAACTCGGTCTATTGATGCCTGAGGACATTAAACTAGATCACCAACACAATAGGCTTAGACGAGAGAAAACCAAGGGGGAGAAAAACAGCATTCCCATAAAAAGTAGTGTACACTGCCGTGATCTAGTACATAGCTCGCGCACACATCCTAATAATTTAAAACAAACAAAAGAGGCACATAAGAGGAAGGTGGCGAGGTTCCGATGTCAACGCCCGCGTTTTCTGACCCCAAAACGGCAGGCGACGTGACTGGTCTTTTAGCTCCCGCTGGAACACGTCGGTAATCATGGTATCTCTCGGTGATTTCTTCTGTATCATCGTCTTTGCACTGCACCTTATTGAACTGTAGTAGTTACATACATCGCCTTTCTTGCTCCCTCGGCCCTCAACCATTGGGCACCGACTCGTTGTGTGCTCGGATAAGATGGAAGGCCGGCGGATGTTGCAGCTTTCTCGGAGGCGGCGTTTGATTTCATTTCCACGGCAACTTCCGGAGCCTCGGCATACGTTTGGGGGTCGGCTTCGACAGAATGACCAAAGGCAGGCTGGGAAGATCACAGTAGGTACAGCATTCGTTGGCGCGGTTGCATTGGCACGCTTAGGCTGTATGGGTACCTTTCTTCGATCTCGACGCGTTCGTCAGCGAGAGGCAGAGCATTGCCGGATTGACTACCACCCGGTTTCTGATTAGTGGTCATTGCGACGATGGTGGAGCACGTCATTACTGTTCCGTGTTGGCTCAAAATTTCGTCTTCGGAGTTTTCTCGTTCCCGTGCCTACGCCGGCAGCTGAGCGCGGGATGCCGGCCGCCAAGACAACGTTGGACGGCGAATGCCGGGTAGTTACACCACGCGACGTGACGGCCAACGCACACTAGTGTGCTACTCTACCTATCCCAAGCTAACCGATGAACTTCTTCCTCACAAAACCCACTCGCGACATTACCTCCGTGCCAATCCCTCACAACCTCCACAACCTCCACGACATCGCGACCCCCCCATTCAAGCATGACGCTATCTCCCGCCTCTCGCAAGCGCGGCTCCCGCGAGGATGCCAACGGCAGCAAGACACTCAGAAACGCAACCTCTCCAAAGCGCCCAAGACACTGCTCTATTCCGATCGACCGCGCCGTCCCCACGGGCAACAAAGATCTACTTGCGTACCTCAACAAGCTACAAACGTAAGCCTTATCGCGTTGCTTCGCTCGACCCCCTGCGACGGCAATGCTGACGCGACCTCGGTGTAGTGATGCCGATGCGATGAACGAGACCATGCGCAATCTACTGGTGATGGCGACGGACAATGACATCGCTACGGCGGTTGGTGGGCTGGGGACAATCAAGTGCGCTATGGGAGAACGTGAGTTTGTTCGCCGCGATTGTGGCTGCGGTGCTTGCGAGTTGAAGCCGTTGGCTGACGGTTTGATTTCAGTTGCTAAAAATGCTCAAGCGATTGCAGCGCTGGCTCCGGCCACCAAGGCCTCAGATTCCTCTGCTACTCCGACTGTCGCTCCCGCCATATCCACGGGCGCCACCGCCGCCGCTGCTGCTACTTCCACTTCCTCCGCTACTTCCACGGACGCTTTTTCCTCGCCGCCGCTGAGTGGCACGCATGCCACCGCAGAGCCTGATTCTTCGCCTCAGCAGCACAGCGAGCCGCCCATTGCTACTGCCGGTTCGACGACCAACACAGGAGGAACGGCTTCAACAAATGCCTCTAATCACACCACTCCAACAGATTCCGCACCACTCCCCGCTGCCACTGAGAGTGCTACTAGCGGCACGCCAGCCGGTACCATCCCGCTCGGCTTCAAGACGAGACGCGGCAAATCCCCAGAGTCCCCCTCCAGGAAACAGAAGACCGCTCGACCACCCAGCCCTGCCGCCAACAAGACCGGCGCTGGTGTCAAGAAGCGACGCGGCACCTCCCCAGTGCCCCCCTCCAAGAAACGGAAGAGTCCTACTAGCGACACGTCTGCCGGTATCATCCCGCTCGGCTTTAAGAAGCGACGCGGCGCATCCCCAGAGTCCCCCTCCAAGAAACAGAAGACCGCTGAACCGCCCAGCCCTGCCGCCAACATGACCGGCGCAGGTGTCTTCTCCCCACCTTCCAACAAGCGTGTCCCTGTGGTGCCACAGACACCCTCCAAGAAGCGTAAGACCACCCCGTCTTTCGGCGCCGAGGCCCCGCAGTTCACGACCCCGACCGCTCCCGCCACCGCCAAGCGCAGATTGTCGACCGTGAACGAGGAAAACCGCAATGTGCGTATTTGTGATACTAGCAAGCGCATGAAGAGGGCGCACCGCGCTGGGTCGGAGCGGCCGGCGGCCGGAATGAAGCGCGGATTCGACGAGGGAGACGACGCGGAGTGTGCCGTGTACAGGGAGGACGTGGGTATGAAACGCCCGCGCACTGGATACTTCCAGGAGGGAGACCCGCCCATGGAGTATGAGACCTGGTCTGATGACGAGGACGAGCAGGAGCCGGAGGAGCTTAACAAGGCGCCGGAACAAGAAGAGGAAGAGGTGCTGTAGGCTGGACGAGGAAGGTGTATGAGTACCGATCGGTCGGACGATGTGGTGTTTGTGTACTTGACTTTTGGATAGAATATACCCTTTTTTTTGAAATTCCTCGGACGCTCGGTGTCTTGACGTGATATTCATCAGACCCATATGTACTACGAAGATGTTTGCCTACACGGATAGCACATGTAACCAACGCTTCACAATTCACGACCGCTATATATCTCCTCCGCCATCAAAATCGTGGATGCATTTTCTGACTAGTGATTCTTCCGTTCAAATATCCGACAGCTCGCGATCTTCTACCTAACGCGGGTTCGGTATGTACTCTATGTATGTAGGCTAAGCCTTTTAGCCCCTGCGCTGATCATCGCCAGGGACCGAGCCTCCGAGAGCTGCACTCAAAACAAGCATTCACGCGACACGATCACCACCAGAACCGATGCGCTCGCCAATTTAACACTGGCAACCACCGATCCCACCCACCGCTACGGGACGCCACAGGACGCCGCCGAAGATAAATCGACGGCGGTTAACAACCGCGAAGACGATTCCACCGTTGCTACTATATTCCCACAGCTCGTAAAGAGTAGGCTCCATACTCTACACGCGAGAGGGTTGAGGGACGGGAAGGGAAGGGAAATAAGTGGGCTCGACGAACGGACCGCAGTTTTTTTTTTTGTTTAATAAGTAATTGCATGCGACCTATCTAGATCGTGGCAATATCGCCCCGTTCACCCCCCTCCCGTTTCCACGCCACTGTCCAACCTAGCTTTCGCTGAGCGGCCCGATGTGGCTTTCCCTACCCTCCACCCTAGCCTTTCCCGAAAGTTTAACTCCACCATTCGCACTCGCCCCCCGCGCCCGCACCCAACCCACATCCGCACTCGCGCCCGCGCCTGGACCCGCCCCCGCCCCCGCCCCCGCCCCCTAGAGTGCTCCCACCTCCGCCGCGCCGCTCTCGTCCGCTATTCTACATCGCCTAGCTCCTCAAATTCCGCGCCCTCATACTCCTCCTCGAGTCGCCTCAGCTCCGCTCGCTCTTCCCGCTCCCTCAGCTCCCATTCCGACACCTCACTTGCTGCATCTTCCTCATCATCCGCCTCTGGGATCCGCCTGTCCACAGCATTGGGGGAAAGAAAGTCGAGGAGGGCTTGGCTGCACCGCTCGTCTGCAAAGAGGTCCCGGATTTTGAAGCGGCCTTTGCCCCTCCTTGTCTGCTCCCTGACTTGTGCCCAGAGTGTCTTTTGCTGACTTTTCCATTCGGGGCAGTTTTTGAAGAGATGCTCCCGAGTGAGTTTTGTACCGGCACCGGCCGCAGCCGGAATTGGGACGGCTTGTCGTCCACTGGAGATACTGGCCGGTGAGACAGTGTCCTGTGAATGTATACGAACCCCCGCAATTCCGAGACCTCGAAGTTCGAGGAGCGGTCTGCTGCAATGATATCCGATGACCTAGCGAGGTGACCTATGCAGTACTCATACACCCCATGCCTGAGGAAACGAATAAGCGCATCATCTACAGCTCAGAGAAACCATTCATTTTTCTCCAGGTTCGAAATGTGCTCGGCGAGCTTGTCGATGGTGGTTTCGACGTGACGTATGCTCAAAATTCCCGACCGAGTGCGAATCCGAGCGACGAGCACCTCGAATTTCTTTCGGAGACATTCATGACTTCCATGATTCTTCTGGCGTCTCCACCACCGTCGGTAGCTTTTGTTACAAAGACATATCGAATAACGTGGACAAGTGTTGAAAGTGATTTGCCTGGAATCTGGTCTTCGGGAGAGCGTGGCTCCCGGTGTCGTTATCTCAGTGCCTTGCTGGGGGATGGCTTTACCGCTGCTGAGATCGGCGCAGTAGATACGCAATTGCCCTGTTTGTCGTGGTCGTCAGGGTTGCTCATCAGTGGCTACGCTGGAATCGAGGTTGAAAAATACCGGCGCATACACCTTGAGATAACTGATAAAAGCTTTATACTGTAAATGTTACAAGTAGTGCAATTGCATGAAATGGGGGTGTGGTTTAGTGGTATAATTCCTCTTTAGCATAGAGGCGGTCCAGGGTTCGATTCCCTGCTCCTCCACAATTTTCTTTTGTACATGCTGTGCCGAAGTGTATCCTTCTCAGAATTTGTTGGGGCCCGTTTGGGATGGCCTCAGTTTTTCTAGAAACTGAGCAAACAAAACTGAAACCCCGTTTTGATGGCACAAAAACCCTAAAAAACGAACTGAAACTGCGCGGTCCCAGCGACGAAACTGGCCCTGACTTGGAGAGGTCATTTCTTTGCCGCCACTCAGTATCGCAATTTAACTTCAACCATAGACTCCCCTTAATAGGAAGAGTAAAAAGCGGGTCTGCAAGGTGTCTACTAGTAGAGTCCCGGAGAAGCCTACTATTCAGACCTATGGCTGAGTATACTGAGAACTGCCAAACACTCTATTCACCTCAAGGTTTTCTGGCAACTGAAACTGAACAGTATTCGGTGTCCCGGTGGGAACTGAATTTGGCTTTAAAAGTGGAACTGAAAACTGAGGCCATCCAAACGGGCCCTAAATAAACCAAAGCCGTAGTTATGTGATACACACGTGGCTGTTTAGGATACAACCAGATTATCAAGGCACACACCTGAGATGTCCGACCGTGGCAAAATTATGACAGGATTCTACTATGTGGCTAGAAAGGTGTTGAATGTCGGATCCAGACGTCTGGTAGCTCCGGGGGACAGCTTGGGGTGGCGGATATGGCTACCAGTAGCCCCGGAGGAAACCACGAGCCCGGTGAATCTACCTACGCCGTCACGCCTTCTGGTCATCACGACAGCATGCATATATAATGGACGCGATATTCAGATAACGAGAAGGATAAGAAACAAGGCTTCCATCGCAATGTACAAATGCATTTGATAGGCGTCTACTACAAAGTATGGATAGCTACGAACCATTTCCTGTCATCGATTGGGGGTGTGGTTTAGTGGTATAATTCCTCTTTAGCATAGAGGCGGTCCAGGGTTCGATTCCCTGCTCCTCCACGATTTTCTTTTGTGCATGCTGTGCCGAAGTGTATCCTTCTGCTGATCTTCACTCTTCGCTACCGCTGCAGCATGCCCACGGGTGCACTACGGTCACCGTGACGGGGCAGCAGTGTTATCTGATACCATGATGGGATAAGATGAGATCAGGTTGAAGATTAGATAGGTACAAGGTTAGGGGAGAAGGAAAATGACGACTGAGTCAGGAGAACGCTAAATGGAAATGTGGTTAAGCTAGGCAGACGTGTCCACGAGATGGAACCCTGACCGGTGCTTCCAAAGCTAACCTTATCATCCTCCTCATTCCTGCGTGCCGGCCCACGGCGTACTTGTACATCACGCTGCCAATTGATACCGTCCAATTTCGACGTGCAAATTTTTGAGAGATGTTTGGCGCATTACCACATGCGCTATAACTAGTAGAATACAACCAGAAAGTCGAGGCTCGCTTGGTTGCATCGCTCCTCTGCGTTGAAGAGGTCACGCAACTTGAAGCGATCGTTGCCCCTCCGTTTCTTGAGTAGCGCTTCCGGTCGGAGCAGCGGTTAAAGAGGTACTTACGCCTCGTCCGGTTGGACGTTTCATGATTCATCTATACCGGAGGAAAAAAACTGGTTCCAAGTGATATTGCGTGAACCAGTGCAGGCAACAGCCCGAACAGCCCGTGGGCTGGGCTGGGGCTGGTGGGCTGATCTGATAGCCCGGGCTGGCGCCGATGGGCTGGCAGCCCAGCCCGGGCTATCAGTTGGCTGGGCGGGCTGGATCCAAGAGTTGGTAGGGTAACTCTACGACAATAGATAGGAAAAACGTTGGAGCTGGCAGGAAAGGAAAGGTTGGGAAGTTGGTGGTCGCCAAAGTCCAGTAAGGCTGCATGAGATAACAAATTGATATTGTCTCTCTCTCTCGGAAGACCGAAGAAAGAGTATTGAATATACATAGGAAACAGGCTTACGCCGGCAGCGCCCTCAAGGAAGAAAGACAGAAGAAAACAGAAGAGAAAAAACCGTACATGAAATTGTAAAGCTCCTAAGAAGACAGGTCCACGGTGGCGGAAGCATGCCAATGCCGCAAACATTCGCAGGCCCCAATCATGCCCGGCTTCAACCTATACCGGCGGTCCGTCACCAGGAGCTTAGCGCTACTAAACACTCTTTCTACCTCTGCTGACATATGCGGGAGGATTATGTTGCGGTTGTTGTTGCGATACCCGTGCCGGATCACCCTCGACGACGATACTAGCAGACGCATCATCGGAACTCACTCGCTACAGCCTACAAGCCCGGGCGCGCCCGGGCTGGTGGGCTACACGCGCCGGGCTGCGGGCAGGCTTTGTTTGGGCTGGGCAGTTACCTGCACTGGCATGAACACGGTCAACGTGAACTCGCACCATAACCGGGCCGGCTGGCTTGGGGCCATTCATCGATCCGTGCATCACCTGCGGAACTTGCGGGTGGTTCGTCCGTCCCCACATCTGCTGGACCCCCGGCTTTCCACCGAGGTAAACCTGGTTACTGTCCTAAACTTCCCCTAACCCCTCTCAGTGCAGGGTAAAAATAGCTCGACCATGTTGTGCATTTCCCAACCAGGTATGTACCTCTGTTGAGAGCTACCGCTCTGGTTGACGCTCAGGATACCTTAGGTAGTGAGTCCTGAGTCCATCAGCGGCCAGATGCCCGTATATTTAACCACCTCTGACCTTTTGTTGCCGTAGCGTATGTCACGTTCGATAGGTTGTCAGTCAGCTACCAAGTCGCGAAATGGAGAACACCGCAGTTGCGTGTGGCTGGGATCCAACACCGTGCGGTCATTGGTGCATCACGCATTTTGCAAGCTATCAGACCTGCGTCACCACTAACTGTTGGCCGCGACTGGGGTTCCGATCAGCCTGGGGCATCCGGTCTCACCTATCCGCCTTGCAGCAGCAATCTTGGGCGGTTGAGATGAGAGGTTGCTCTCTTCCTCCTTGATGGATATATTGCCGAATCCACATGTGCGTGAATATACGTCACATTATTTAGACAAACTTTGTACGGCTCCGGGTCTCATGCCCGCTACTCTGGACATTAAGACATAGTCCCATCAGGTAGTTTATGTATAAGACGGCTGCCACTATCTAGACAGAATGGAATAATCAACTTCAACATCATTCATTCGAGTCGCGTTTCCGGATCCCTCCTCCATCTCTCTCCTTTCCCCGATGCCTGCATATCAGCTCATCACCGCCACTATCCCTCCCCCGTTCCAGCACACCGCTCTACCCCACCGCTACCGGCGAGACCAGGCTTCCCGCAGCCGCTGTGACCAGGAAGCCCGGGATTGCTTGTCCGCATCGTTTACCGCCGAAGAGCTTCGAGATGCCCCCATGCTCAATTCCCCTCCACAGCGATCAATAGATGAAACCGAGTCCAAATTAAAGCCAATGCAAGAAAGCCTGCCTGAATTATAACCGAGGGCAACAATTCCATTCCCGATCTCGGCACAGTCCGGTCGATGATCAAAGGGAAATAGAACTAGTTTTCGCACTCCCAACGATATCCAGTGGTTCTCGATACGCAATGTAGATTGTAAATGGTGCCTTTCGATTTTTTTTGTTGCCAGAGGTTTCCGCTTCATATCAATATCCCAGCAACAGAAGGTTCCCTTGGGATCTGTCCCAGTGAGATACTTACCATCTGGCGAGAAAGCCACCGACCCGATCCAGCCCGAATAACCTTCCAGGGTGGCGCGACAGGTCCCCGACGTCGGATCCCAGAGCCGCACAGTGTCATCATAGGATCCGGACGCAAGGAGTTTGCCATCTGGCGAGAATTCCACCGACCCGATCCCGTCTGAATGGCCTTCCAGGGTGGCGCGACAAGTCCCCGACGTCGAATCCCAGAGCCGCACAGTTCTATCACTGGATCCGGACGCAAGGAGTTTGCCATCTGGCGAGAATGCTACTGAGTTGATCCAGTCCGAATGGCCTTCCAGGGTGGTGCGACAGGTCCCCGACGTCGGATCCCAGAGCCGCACAGTGTTGTCAGCGGATCCGGACGCAAGGAGTTTGCCATCTGGCGAGAATGCTACTGAGTTGATCCCGTCTGAATGGCCTTCCTGGGTGGCGCGACAGGTCCCCGACGTCGGATCCCAGAGCCGCACAGTGGTGTCATCATGGGATCCGGACGCAAGGAGCGTGCCATCTGGCGAGAATGCTACTGAGTTGATCCAGCCCGAATGGCCTTCCAGGGTGGCGCGACAGGTCCCCGACGTTGGATCCCAGAGCCGCACAGTGGTGTCATCAGATCCGGACGCAAGGAGTTTGCCATCTGGCGAGAATGCTATTGAGTTGATCCCGCCCGAATGACCTTCCACGGTGGCGCGACAGGTCCCCGACGTTGGATCCCAGAGCTGCACAGTTTGATCACTGAATCCGGACGCAAGGAGTTTGCCATCTGGCGAGAATGCTACTGAGTTGATCCCGTCCGAATGGCCTTCCTGGGTGGCGCGACAGGTCCCCGACGTCGGATCCCAGAGCCGCACAGTGTTGTCATTGGATCCGGACGCAAGGAGTTTGCCATCTGGCGAGAATGCTACCGACCGGATGCTGCCTGAATGGCCTTCCAAGGTGGCGCGACAGGTCCCTGACGTTGGATCCCAGAGCCGCACAGTGTTGTCAGCGGATCCGGACGCAAGGAGTTTGCCATCTGGCGAGAATGCTACTGAGTTGATCCTGTCCGAATGGCCTTCCAGGGTGGCGCGACAGGTCCCCAACGTCGGATCCCAGAGCCGCACAGTGGTGTCATCATGGGATCCGGACGCAAGGAGCGTGCCATCTGGCGAGAATTCCACCGACCAGATCCCGCGCAAATAACCTTCCACGGCGGCGCGACAGGTCCCCAACGTCGGATCCCAGAGCCGCACAGTGTTGTCATCGGATCCGAACGCAAGGGGTTCGACATCTGGCGAGAATACTACTGAGTCCAACCAGCTTGAATGGCCTTCCAGGGTGGCGCGACAAGTCCCCGACGTTGGATCCCAGAGCCGCACAGTTCTATCAGTGGACCCGGACGCAAGGAGTTTGCCATCTGGCGAGAATACTACTGAGTTGATCCAGCCCGAATGGCCTTCCAGGGTGGCGCGACAGGTCCCCGACGTCGGATCCCAGAGCCGCACAGTGTTGTCAGCGGATCCGGACGCAAGGAGTTTGCCATCTGGCGAGAATGCTACCGACCGGATGCTGCCCGAATGGCCTTCCAAGGTGGCGCGACAGGTCCCTGACGTCGGATCCCAGAGCCGCACAGTTCTATCAGTGGACCCGGACGCAAGGAGTTTGCCATCTGGCGAGAATGCTACTGAGTTGATCCTACCCGAATGGCCTTCCAGGGTGGCGCGACAGGTCCCCGACGTTGGATCCCAGAGCCGCACAGTGTTGTCAGCGGATCCGGACGCAAGGAGTTTGCCATCTGGCGAGAATGCTACTGAGTTGATCCAGCCCGAATGGCCTTCCAGGGTGGCGCGACAGGTCCCCGACGTCGGATCCCAGAGCCGCACAGTGTTGTCAGCGGATCCGGACGCAAGGAGTTTGCCATCTGGCGAGAATGCCACAATTGCGACGTCATATGTATGGCCCACCAGCACCTGCAGCGTAGAGTCCCACTCATTTTGAACCACCGGTTGGATCGTGATCCAGCCCGGCAGACAATCACGAAACTGCTCCCTGATTATGCTTCCCATCGGGCTGAATATCAGAGCAGAGCAATAGGTTTGTAGATGCGCGACTTCGATTGTCGATCTGAAATTTAGTATGAACCGCACGGCATCGTGGACGATCGCGCGTAAATGTGGATCGGCAGCGGACTTGGTAAGTTAGCAACGTTCTGGGCGAAAAAGTGCACCGTTGTGTTTCCAGGGAGCAGCAAGCATAGATATCAAGTCAAAACAAATCATCTCTTCGTAGAATTCCCCCAACCGGTGGTTGGCGTTGAATTGGGTACATCGGAGCTTTCCTGGTCTGTGCAGAACGCCGGCTCTCCAGAAAAGTGAATCTCCAAGAAAGAAAGCTTTGAATTGCTCACCGTAAGCATAGATTCAAAATTCGTCATCATGAGAACTCCCTCCGCCAAATTGCCCAGCAAACTGAGAGCTTCAAGCCAGTGGAGGAAGTGTTTCTTCAAGAAAGTGTGGACACGATGGTGCAGTGATTCAGATCCGGTGTTTTGGTGACAGAGTTCAACTTTGCTCCGCTGAAGGTGAACCAGCCAATACCGGCACGCATACCTAACTTCCTGGGGAAGACAGCGTTGGAGGATGGAAAGATCCACTTCGCTGGTAATGGTACTCGGAAGCTCCAGAGAGCATATATCCTGCTTTAGATGCCTTGACATGACCTCAAGACAACATAGTGCAAGGTCTTCATGTGCGTTGTCCCCCATGATCCTGAACCGATCGTCGCACCTCCCGCTGTCCAACAGGAAGTCACGGAAAGACGGATGCAAGAGCCTGATTGTGGTATCTCCGCTATCGGAATAACCCACCACAGAACTCAGGGATTTCAGAATTCCTTCGACTTCCCCCAGCCGAGCACCCAATAGTTGGCCTAGAGCGGTGGCAGTCAATGAATCAATAAGAATCACAATGGATCCGATAGCTCGTTTAAACAGGTGTATCTGCCTCTCTATTCCCGGACTCCCGCTATCTTCAACCGGTATCGCGGTTCCTAAAACCTTGGTGTATATCACGTCGAGTTGTTGCGCTGGTGATCCAATGTGCACGGTGTCTTCCAATACGGAAGTCAGACGATCCGGCGGATAACAATCCTTATTGTCAATGAAGCGACAGACTGTTGCAGCGTATATGAACAGTCCATCTGCTTTGTCAACGAGACGTTCTAGGGTTGCTTCGCTGGGCCACTGAGTTGGTAGGCCGCGGTGATCCCGGACTCTGGTAAACTCATGATGGAAGAGAGTGGATATATCGTGAAAGACTATCGGGCTTGCGATCTGGTCAAGAACACAAACTCGATGTGTAGATTTCGGTATGAATTGAAAACCATGACGGATCGGGGTTTCAGGTCGACTTGTGATAAATACTCGCAACCGCACGGAGGTGACATTTGCTGCCTGAGAAAGCAGGTTAAGGATTAGCGCCACATCATATTCGTCGTCACACTCGTCCAACGCATCGATAACGAATACCAACGAGTGCATTTTCGACGACCGGGAGAGCGGTTTGAGAATGAGATGTTTCCACTGCTCGCGTAGGCTTTGCCGGATGATATCGGGGTGATCGCATATAGCCTTACGGACGCGGGAGCCAAGGCGGGAATTCGAACGCCCCAGCTGGTAGGCGAAGGTAATGAAGAGCTTCGATGCGCGGGCTAGATCTCCCTGGCCTCTGGAAAAGAAGAAACTTGCTCCAAGCCGCTTCTTATGGTCCCATCTCGAAGCGACCGTACGAGCTATGGTGGATTTTCCAGTACCAGCCATTCCGTTCAACCAAAAGATGCATGCACCGTTCCGGGAATCCGCCCAGTCATTGATGTCTTTGAGGAGGCCGACCCGGGTGTCTTTTAAACATGTAGGTTCGTGCTCAAGACGCCGAGAATTGAAAGCGGCACCATCGGCACAGTGGGATGTGGCTTGAGAGCGCAACGCACTGTATCAGCTCAAGCAATCATGTTGGAGCGTCCACCAACCTACCAAACGTTTCCAAGGCTTGCGCGTTTCGAGAGCCATGTTGCTGCGCGAAGTATTGAAACTTCGTCGGTCCTACATACAGGTGGTGTGTGTTAGCCGAAGGGATGACCCGTCGTAACACGCAATAGTAAGGCGAACCAAACACGACGGGCGCAGCAAAGGTCGGATGTTGGACCTCGTTGTGGTTCGCGTCGTTGTAGGTACGGGAGTTATCGGTTCTGTTTGCCATTGTCGGGTTCCTCGTGGGGTCTCGGGAAGGAGATGATGAAGTAGGATTTGGCAAGCCGGATGTAGGGCCCCGATTATAGCAAGTGTCGAGATGATTTGGGTTGGATCAGTTGTCGGAAGGATAGTGAATCGGTTTGGAAAAGGAGAATGATTGATGTGAAGAAGGGAAGAAGGCGGGGCTATCGTCGCGAACACGCGAGGCAGATAGTTGATGCGGAGCGGGGGTAACGAGTCAGCAAAGCACTCTGACGGATTCTGTTGGGCGAAGGCCTAGAGTACATGCATATCCGCAGGCTCGGGTGTTCCCCGAGACACCAATGGGAGATCGCCACTTGGAGTCGCCAATCATGGTTGGAAACCGAGAACACGGCTCGGAAACAACCATCGAGACAGTACATGATACTAGTACAAGGCACCAATTGATCAGGGTCTTGGACCGTCCCAAAACGCGGGGTTCGCTTCGAGTCCGCGGACAGACTTCACGGCCATCACTGCAAAAAAAAATCAAGTTTTTCCGACTCTCGTAGGAACAGTAGATAATACCTGGGAGAGTCATGTCTTTTTCCCTGACCCTGTACTGAAAGGTTAATCGTTGAGTTATTCACAGGATCGTGGACATTGGTGGTGAGGGGTGGGATTCCCACGCGTACCAATCGATAGTATGTACTTAAGTTACTCCGCAGCGGGTACATAGAGAAACTACTGGTACATACTGTATAGTGAAACGGGGGGTAAAAAATATGCGTTTTTCCGTATCAGTACGGTCGAATATCGTATTTGTCAAATACAGAACAGCAGGCAATGTTCCTTACCCCACAGCCCACCGAAGATCGTTCTCACACAGGATTTTCGACAAGGAAGTAAGTTCTTCATGAAACCCATCCCGGAAGGCGGTATAGGTTGGTGGCAATCGAAAGGAACTGACGGAGCAGCGCACATAGATAGTCGCAGAAACCACTAACACTAGGTTCTCGACTCCCTCAGATATTCTTGCTTCACCTCGTATGATTCGCACTGGGACGACAGACGGCATCGATGATTCAATAGGTACTCGATTGATGTCCTATTGGTAGCTATTGGTTGAAGCAAAAACGCAAGTGGAGTACATGAAGAAATTGATTCTCCTCTCGCGGCACAAATGATCCAACCGCAACTAGCTACGCAACGGCAAAACGGCTAGGTATATCAAGTGGTCGTGGAGACTGCCCCGTTCCCGAGAGGCCCCTGGTTCGCCCACTCCTACAACATCAGGGCGGCAGTTCCCATTATCCAATCGATGCCGCGGATAACGCATCGCCGCTACGGCAGTAACTGCCCTGCTATTGTACAGTTCGCCAGGATCCGGACCAGCGATGCGTTGTGGTACGTAGATGCGGAAACGCAGTTGTCCCCTGCGATCAGCATGTAAGATAACTGCTCTGGATCGGGCAAGGAGTCTCCCGCTCGACTCGAAGATGTAGCGCGAAGACGCTGTTCAACTTAGTTCTCTCCCGGCATCACTTCCTCGTCATTTACGGTGTAGCCGGCGTCGGATATTCGATGACAGTCGGAACGCCGAGATGAATTCGCCAAAGGAAATGTCGGCTCGGCGAGGCGCGGTGTAGTTGTGATGGTACTGTAGACGCGTCCCTTGGGGGGGTTTCCGACTGATTTTGTGCGTAGCATCGTCGCGATGGTGCTCTGAGGCAACCAGCAGATATGAGATCGGTGCGTTTATGCTGATGATAGCGGATAAGCTGCGCAAGCTCGATAGACAGAACGCCGAGCTAAATTCGCCGAAGGAAATGTCGGCTCGGCGACGAGCCTGGGTATATATCGTCGCGAGTAGATGGATCGATCGCGATGGGAGGTCCGTACGGCAGTGCGTGGCATAATTGCAATGGTGCCCTAGACACGTTCCTTATGGGGTTTTCGAATGAATGCGTGCACAGCGTGGTCGTGATGGTGATGGTGCTTCTGTTACACGTGTTCCTAAAGAGGTTTTGAATATTTGTGTGTCATCGCTGACTGTTTTGAGCCGCATCGTGCCCGCGGTCCTAGCGAGACACGTGAACCCACTTTCTCGCCAAAGGCCTCCGAGTCACAACCCACCATCGCGAAGTCCCCCACTCTCACGAAAACTGTCACCACAACACTCAGCTCAATGCCGCCCAAACTCCCGAAAGCGAAACCGAAGCCCGCCGCTCGCCGCGGTGCTACCACTGGGCAACCCACTACCCAGAATCTCCCCGCCGAGGGTTCCGCCGCGTCGCTTTCCCACGCCGCAGTCCTTCCCGAAGCTTCGGCTGCCGCCACCGATCCAACGGAAACGAAAGAAATACCGACAACTGCACCGCCTAAGGGGCGACTGGATAGTCTCACTTCTCCATCTACTCGCGGGGGACCCTTGCGTGGTGCTGTCGGATCGAAGATTAAGTTCAAGCCGAAGGTGGTGCAGAGGAGGACGAAAGAGTTTGCTGCCCTCTTGCTTACACGTGTCTTCGACGGTCATTGGGTTGGTGATTAACATACACTTTGCAGGGAGCGAGAGACACTCGACGCGAAATTTCAGGAACAACAGGCTACCAAGTCGTCTCGCGGCGGGAGTGGCCGCGGCGGTGGTCGCGGTGGTCGTGGTGGTGGCCGAGGAGGACGGGGACGCGGTGGGGGAGGCCTTGGCTTCTCGGATGTTTTACCTGGCGCCAGTGGTCCGTTTGCGCTCGGTAGTGTGGTCACCGGGCGGAGGGATAAGGTGTTTGCAGAGCGGAGCGGGACGGGGATCTTTGGAGGCTCTGGCAGCAGTCGCGCGATGCGGTACAAATCGAACGTCAAGCGCGATCCTCGGGACGGTGACGATAAAGGTGGATACTCGAGTTCGGATGACTCGGACGGACCGAAGATGGACGTCGAGTATATCTCGCTTCTGGATGCGGCGAGCGACGATGACGAGATGGATGGAGAGGAAAGGGACATGACGAATGACTGGGGTGCCGGTGCGCCTGTACGGATTCCTCGGAGCGAACACGTCGATCGTCAGGCGATGGTGAATACGGATTCGAGCGCGAAGAAGGGCAAGGCGGAACTGAAGGCGATGAAAGATAAGGAGATGACTTTCGAGACTGAAATCAAAATCAAAGCCGAGCCGGAAGACGATGACCTGGGGATGCTCCCTCCCAGTTCGCCGGAGATGACGAAACGCAAGGTGAAGGTTTCGGACTCGCCGGAGGTCAAACGGAAGAAGGAGCCTACATCGCCGGTGAGGCGGAGGAGAAGGTCGAGTGTCCTGGGTAAGAAGCCCATCATCTCGACGACAGAAGAAAAGGAGGAGTACGAGCGGTTGGAGACGGATCGGAACGATGCTCTCCTCGAGCTTGGTGGAGCTATGAATGGGCTTGGTCTGGATACGGGCAAAGCCAGGGACCCCGACAACGATGTGGAAATGTTTTCGGTATGTCTAACAATCGTTTGCTTTGCTTCTACTGTACTAACATCGAATAGCCCACTGCCGCCCCACAACCAACTGCCAATGCTGAAACCGAAAATCAGATCTTCTGTTTTCAATTCCCTCCTCTCCTCCCGCGTCTCGTTGACTTCAATTTGGAAGAAAAGAAACCTCAATCCAAAGAAGCCGAAGAAGACGACACCAAGCCGGATGTCAAAATTCAACCCGGCTCCTTCGCCGCCCGCAAACTCGCTGCACAGAATAAAG